CGGCAGGAGCTCGGGTAACTTCTGGTCTTTTATCGGGCCGCGGGGAAGGGACGGGAGTAACCAAGGAAATCCCGAGCTACGGCCTCCAGGTGCCCTGTCAGCCGGTGATGAACTCTCGGCCGTTGCACAGACGGGAAAGAACCTCCGTGTTTAAGATATAAATGGTCCATTATTACATTTTTCTTAATGTACCCATCGACCCTTTCTATCACGTAGCAATTACTTTATTCTCGTTCCCCTCAAAGCACGGGGTTTGATAGCCTTGTTCTCTGACACACCCCAAGGTATAAAGTATCAGGCATTCCTCTTTCCTTCTGAAATCCTCACACATCTCAAATCCATCCATGGCCAACAATAAAACCACTGTGTCTTCTTAATTTACATTCAGCTGCTGCTACTTAGAAAGGAGGTGAAAATACCACTTTTCTCATATACCTGCTGATAAACAGGGACAAGTGGAAGAAGCATTAAAGATTTCTTTTGCCTAGGAGATGTTTTGTTCTGATGATGTTCCCCTTGACCCTGCTTGGTTGGTTTTTAAGCACAGAAACTTAAATGCAATTTGTTAATCTGTAGAGTTTTCCTCACAGTTCAGGATTTCGAATTCAGGTATGGCCCTATATCCTATCTGGCCTGTAAAGGTCATCTCTGGCCTGCTCACACAGACCAGAACAGATTGAACTAAGACCAGGAGATGTGTTTTGCATAGGCAGCAATTTCTCTTCTGCTAATTAAAAGTTATAGTCTGTATTGTTACTCTTAATTTTGACCCTTTTGTGGAAAACATTTGAATTCTTGTTCTCTGCATTAGGGAGAACAGGAATTGTTTAAGTATTTTCTTTATTATTCTGGATATCTTTTGCAAATAAACGTTTAGCCCACAACATGCAGCCCTTGTTTTCAGGATGCTGTCTTTAATATAGGACACAGGCATTTTAAATGTTTGTAAAATGTGAAAATTACAATTCAACAAACTCTTAAGCAATTTAAATAGAAAATTTAAATTGGTCTTTTAAAGGAAATCTTTGAAATCTGGAAATTTGGTAGCTAGTCTTTTGCTTATGTCTTTATCTCTCTTAAACAGGTTGTGTTAAAGTCAAACTTTGCTGATGTGAGCAGAGCTTGTTAACATGAAACTCACTGGAATCATTTGCATCCAGGAGCGCTATGGAGCAGTTTTCAACATGGAGGAGGAGAAACTGTTACCTGTGTCTCATAATGGAAGGCAGCATTTCACTGACAGAAAACTTATACTGAGTGGAGTAGCAAAACCCTGGCGCCAAACCTCTAACTCCAAAGTGAACAGAAATGCTGGGGCACTGAATGCAAAAAGTATGAGAGCAGTGGTGACAGGAGGTGGAGGCTATTTTGGATACAAGCTGGGATGTGCTCTTGCCAGTGCAGGAGCTTCTGTTGTTCTGTATGACATACACAAACCTATCTGGGAAATTCCCAATGGAGTAGTGTGTATCCAGGTATGACAAATTACATTTTCACAACAGTCAAAGTTAGTTGATTTGCCTTTTCCAGAATGTCTTACTAGTTTTTCACAGAATCCAGATACCTAATTGAAAATTACTCCAAATTTTAGTAATTGTGTGAATATCCCACGATTTGTGGTCAGCTGATTTTAGTGTATCTGAAATAAGGAAAGCAATGAAACCTGTCATGCATAGCACAGAGTACCTTCATGCCCTGACTCTGAAGTGCTCCTCAGGACAGTCACTGCCCTAGTCTATGCGTTGGTTTAATCACCTGTAGAATGAACATAAGGGTATTATGAGGCTTAATGAATGTCCTTTTGAGTTTTATGATAGAAAAGTGATTATCAGCAAGTACTGAAATGGGCAAGTACTGAAAATAGATTTCAGTCCCAGGATGTACACAAAGTACAATTATATGTATATATTCTTTCTGTGCTAACCTGCTATATGACAAATACAAAGTTTGATTTCAAGTCCAAATGTCTTATGTATTACAGGCAGATATCAGGGATTACGATGCCATGTTTGCAGCCTGTGAAGGAGCTGACTGTGTGTTTCATGTAGCTTCATATGGAATGTCAGGAAGAGAGCAAGTAAGTCCAAATCATCCTGTGTTTTTTCTGTGTGACTGCCCACACTGAGGATAAGAGGCTTGATGCTGTAACACTGCATGTTAGATTTTATCCACTCACATTGTCCTGAGAGCCTGAAGCCCAAACCGTGGTTTGGTAAATTGCTCTGTGCAAACTGGTGTGCTAATTGCAAGCAGTCTGCTCACAGTACTGTTTTCCTAGTTGTGAAATTATTTCCTCCCCATTAGAGGCTCCAGCAGCACCCTGGGAGTGCTTTTGACTTGGAAACGGCATTGAAGAGTTCTGAAATAGTGTGAAGGCAAAAGGAAAGACAAGGGAGGCTGGTTCCTTCCAAAACCCTGATCTTTCCACTTTCCCTAGACCTTTCACATAGAAAACCTAGGTTTAAGGTCACTGGGAGCAAAGAAACCTGAACTAAACTATAAATTGTTTTATATTATTAAATTATATCAATGGCTAACTATTTGCCATTAGTGGGTAAAAAGCTGTAAGGATGTGCTTGATATAGGACTCTGAGGCATGATTTATGTAATTAGTGTAATTATGTAATTGGAATCACTCAGGTAGTGGCAGCTGGTCATTGAAGTTCTACTGAAACATGGATATTTAACATAATGCTGCAAGATGTGTAATTACTGGAAATACACATTTAGAAGCACTGTGATTCTCTGCCTCGAGCAGTCTAGTCTGTAAAAATACAGGCACAGGTTAAAAATAATGAGTTGACTTCTTGAAATCTGAAACAGCTGTCTAAATTATCTTTTTTATAATTGAAGCATTAAGCTCATTAACTTTATTTGGGGATACTTATAACATTTTACTACTGAATTTAGCATATTATTCAGAAATTGCACAATTTCTTTATTTTCCTAGTTACACAGAGAAGAGATTGAAACTGTAAACATTCATGGAACAAGATTTGTCATTGATGGTATGTATCTAACCTTGCCATTGGGTGGTAGTCCAGTATATCAAAATATTATATCACTTAGAAAAAGCCAGCTGGCTTTTTTCACACACCCTATGTTTTACCAAATATTTCCCATTTTTGACACAAGATGAGGAAATGTCATTGGGGGGGTTTTGTGCTCAGTTCTGCTATGGGGTATGATATGAGGCAGCACAGTAGTTCAGCATTTTGTAACCATGTTTGACCTGATGTCAGAATCCATATCCATGAAAGGAGTTCACTATTTCCATGTGTATTTTGGGGCAATAAACCTCACTGCTGTCCAGTAGCCTGTGCACAGGCAGCCCTTGGCACAGATGGATGTCTGGCCACCTGCCTGTCTAGAGCTGAAGCCCATCTCAGCAGGCTAGTAGCAGCCTTCCCAGGGGCCTGGTGTTAGCTCCAGCATCCAGATCAGGATGTGCCAGATTACAGAGCACTTGGTTCTGCATGGACATCTTCCCTTTAAATGTGCTTTGCACTTTAAAGCACACAATCATATAATGGAAGGATTTGCTCTTTAAAGATTTGACAGCTTCTCAGAAAAAGGTCATACAAACTTTTCTGCCATATTGTTTAATTTTCATTAAACTAATTTCCTTTATACCTTGCTGCAGCCTGCAAACAAAGGAACATCACTAGGCTGATATACACCAGTACAGTAAATGTGGTGTTTGGAGGGCTTCCTATTGAAGATGGTGATGAAGAAACTGTGCCATATTTTCCAGCTGAAAAGGTATTTCAGTAGTATTCAAATAGGTATTTTCAAGTTTCCTCTTTGCTTTCTTGTTTCTGAAAAATCCTGGAGTTTTCACGGCTCTGTTTTGCCTGATGCCAGAATCCAGGTACAAGAAAGAAGACATCCTTTATACTCTTTGTAGATGCTATTCACAACCCTGACTCATGGGTTTTATATGCATTGCAATATGTATTTCTTTCCTATTGAGGATTTGATTTTGGAAAATAACTCACAGTGTCCTGTGAACATTAGTGAAATTCCACCTGGACGTAGGGATTGTGTTATATGCCTTGGTGCCTCTTCAGCCATTTATTATTTATGTGTTTTTTTCTGTTTCTCCCTTATTGAGGATGATGTATACTCAATGTAGAGCTGATACTGAAAAGCAGCCAGTTTTTATATGGATTTATTTCATTTAATTAAAAGAGAAAAGTACTTCTGGGTGCTTTGCATACACAGTTGGGTTTTGTGTCCCTCCTTTTGCCATCAGGTACTTCACAGTCTTTCAAGAAGTAGAGATGGACAGAGAAAATATTAAATAATATTTTGAATAATATATAAAATAGTGTTTTCTCCAGGACAGTGCCACAAGAAAGTGAACAGGGTAATTTAGACCAATCTTAATGTCTTCAAAACTTGGGGTTTGACTTTTCCATTACCTGGAAAAGAAATCCAGATTACAAAGCAGTGATCAATTACGTTCTTGGCAGCATTCAAAGCATACATATATTTATTGCTTCTCGAATGTGCTGAAATTAATTAACAATTTGCACAGACAAAAATGTTTGCTTACCTTTCCAACATGCACATTTCATCCTAAACTAATACCCCAGGGGTTCTGTATTTTGAGGTGTTTGCTGCCATCTGCTAAATAAAGCTACTGGGGTAGAGACAACCTGTCATTTCAAGGATGGATAAAAACATATTTGTTTTTTCTCTGTAGCATGTCGATCATTATTCCAGAACCAAATCAATTGCAGAACAAATGATACTGGCAGCTAATGGAACTCCACTAGCAGGTACTTTTGTTTTAGCATGGATTCATAGTAGAATGTATTCCTCCTCTTCTTGTTCCTCACTAACATCCTGTATCCTGTGTCAGTCCTTAGTGGACAAGCTTGTCCAGCAATTATGAAACCAAGTTATCTACCCCCCTCACAAGCTAAAAGATTTTCAATTAAAAAAAAAAAAAAAATTAAAAAAAAAATTGTTTTTAAGTTCCTACAGTGTTCATAAAAGGTTTTGGCATGGTAGCAATGAGTTTAGTATGTTAGTTGATAAGATGAAGACAGCTATAAATTAAACAAAACCAAGTGTTTAATGTCACCATATTATGCAACATAAGTAAAACATGAATGCTGATTAAATTGTTCTCTGCTTCCCCCCTCCCTTGCAAGTTATACATTAAAATCTGAGGAAGCCACCTGATACTTATAGCCTGGAATTATTTATTAGAGCTTCCCAAAGTTTTCCATGTTGAGGAAGCCAGTTATACACTTGAATACTTAAGCTCACCTGTGAGATACTATAACTACCTGTGCAAAACAAATTAATGTAAAGTGCAACATGACTCTATGTGACCAAGTGATACTGAGCTAAATTTAGCTGTAGACAACTTGCAGAAAATAAGACTCTTCACTTGCAAGGGCTATAACGAGATATAAAGTTATTGATGGACATTCTATCCCAACAGAATGATTCTGTTTACAAAATAAAAATGTTTTTCCTTCTTTCCTCAGCAGCTCTTCACATCAAAGATCCTCTTAAATTTTAGAAGCAATACAGTTCTGCATTTGTCAATTAAATTAGAACCAGTCAGTGTTCCAAACATCCCATTTTGATCCTGTGCCATAGCAGGATGGAGTATTTTGTATTGTCAAGTACTATTAAGAACTGTATTAGGAACAGTTATTAGTGGATGATGAACCAGCCAACTGATACACTTGGGAAGTGATTGGATTTTTATGATGGTCTGTTTTGCCAATGACCAGGCCCAACAAAAATGATACCACCACCAGCAGGAAGATGAACCAATACACAGACTGTATTGTAGACAAGAAGGACATTCCATGAATGATCACTGGGGGTACAAACAGATCAATCAGCTGGTACATAAATGACACCACCCCCAATGATCCCACAAAGGATGTAACTCGGCCCACAACAGGTGGTACAAACAGAGACCCGAGGCTGCCCACAGTTGGCATGGGAAACAGCCAGACCAGCAAGCTGAACACATAAGAGAAAGGTGCCCACATGGCAACTCTCACCTGTCTAGCCCGCGTTCACAAAGGTCTGAACTGACCGGGGCCCAGCTCCAGGGAGAGTCAGGAGGTCTGCCCTGAACCAGGAAGCTCTGGGGAGTGCACTCCACAGACAGACACTCCTGACTCCCTGCAAGTGGTCCCAGCTTTTATCCCCAAGCAGACACCTGACCTTTGTCAACTCAGTGCAGGACCCCTGGGGCTCATTTCCCTTCTGGCTCTCCCTGCAGGGCCGGCCGCACCCTGGGGGGAAGCTATAAGGCAAACTCACCCCCTCTGTATGAAGGGCTGTGGGAATCACCCATATGTCAACCTTAATTCGGGGCTCGGGGTTCAGACCCCAGCATTTCACGGTCTGTACTTTCTCACACAGAAATGATCAAGAGCTCCTACATCAGTTCTCTTGGGAGCTGGCTGTGCCTACTTGTTGAGAACCTTTCAGCTCTATCATGTACTGTAGCAAGTTGCTGTTTCCCATCAATAATTTTGTATGAGATTAGTTGGTTTCATCACACTCTCCTATCCGTAACTTGCTCACTTCAGCAGGCCCATCACCACAGCTGGCATGCTCATTCACTGCCTTGGCACAAAGGACGGGTTAGAAAAAGGTTTTGAAATCTCTGGTAATTTCTAGGAATCCAGCTATGCTGGCAGGACTTCTCTGAATCTGATCTTGATATTTTGCATGTTCTAATTCTGCAAACTTAATATCCAACTACTAATTCAACATCTTTTGGTACGTTTGGGGCTTTTCTTAAGATGGTAAAGTTAATTTATTTCAGAGTAAGTTCTGATACCACAGTCTTTGGTTCATGCAAACAAAGATATAATGTCACCAAGTGGAAGTCACGTAAGAATGATCTTACTAATTCTTGTAGGAGGTGGAATACTGTATACGTGTGTTCTTCGCCCACCAGGAATCTATGGACCAGAAGAGCAAAGACACTTGCCAAGGCTAGCAGTATGTATTTTAATTTTTTAATCAGCAGAATTTTCTATGATATACAGCAGCATAATTTGCTTGTTTTATAAATTGACTGATCTTCTCATTGGGCAGCAATTCAACAGTTCAGTTGTCTGCTGAGGATATTATAACTGTTGTTAACAGGCCCTATATTATATATGTAAAGAATGTATGGTACATTTTAAAAGCCTTTTTTTTAAAAATACAAACACGTGTAAGTTCAGCTTTATAATTTAATGCTTACCATAAGATTCAGACCAATCTATGATATTTAAAATGTCTCTTTGCATGCAACTTACACAAAATGGTTTAAAATATTAATGAAAAGAGATACAGCAAAATATCTTCTTTCCAGTCTCAGCTGTGAACAGCTTTCTCTGTCCAATGAAACAAGTTATGGTGCTGGAAGCACCTGTACCTGGTGCAATAGGTTACTGAAAGGCAGATAGCTCAGGTGCTCACTTTCTACTGATTTTCACTTGCTCCCTCTTAAACAGCAGGACTAGTACAGTGTTTAGAATATGACCCCTGTAGAATGATACCAGTGAGTTATTTTAAAAGCATCTGTACCATATGGTTACACACAGCTTTGAGAAACGAAAAGATTCAGCCTTACAACATAATAAGTATTTTTAGTTTGCATCTGAGGTAGGAAATGATATTGAAGTCAGCCAAAACCTAAATCATCTTTTAAATACAATCATTTTTAAGGATGGCAAATGTAATTTTAATTATATCTGAGATGTTTGCTTTAGCCTTCCTTCCCCAAATACAGTAATTTAAAATTACCGTTTAAGATTTTAAGTTTGTTATGAGCCCATGTTGAAGTATTATGTCATATTTTGCAGTTTCTAAACTGCACCTGTTAAATGAAAAATGTAACAGCTAGAATAACCTTCCATTTTTTCCCAACCAAGCTATTTGTTAAATTTGATCCAATTTTGTGAATACTTTTGATCCATTCAGAACTGTATCTTACCTTTCCATACTGTATTTTACTTATACTTAAAACAGACTTGTATTTTTTGTAAATTCAGTACATATTGTGTTCAAGATGTTCTCCATTCCTTTCTCATGAGCAGTATTTTTTGATCTCTCTGCACTACTCTTGATTCTTTCTAATTTGCTAATGTATTTTTTTAAATAGAGATAAATCTACATTTATCTGGATGAGAAAGTGCACTGTACCTAATTTTAAAGCCCATTTTGCTTTGGTTTCATGTTTGTTTGTCTACAGAAAAATATTGAGAGAGGTCTGCTAAGCTTCAAGTTTGGGGATCCTTCTGCTAAAATGAACTGGGTGCATGCAGACAATCTTGTACAAGCTCAGATTCTAGCTGCTGAAGCTCTCACCCCTGAAAAGGACTACATAGCTGTGAGTAAACAACAAAAGCACCACAGTTTTCATTTGGCAGTGGATCCTAACACTGTATCCTATTTTGCAGTAACTACTGTGGTAGCAGTTAATGTCTGTGTTGTGGTCCTTCCTTTAGCATACCTTGTTATCTGTGGTTTTGGTTAACCAGTGTGCTATGAACAGCATGGAACCTGGCAGCATTTGCTGTGCAGCGTGTTAAGAGCTGGAATATTCAGTTCCATGATCTCCACTTTTGCATTTCTGTAGTCAAATATTTGCTTTTTCTAGAAGATGAGCGAAGAATGTTTGTTATGTTGGAAATTAAATTGGAAGTTTGGGCAGATTTATCCCCTGTTCCTCTGTATACAGATCCAGGCTTAATGTTCTAACCTGTGATAATTGGTTCTTCCTGTACTGCAGACAAATAGAAGCGCATTTTGTTTGGGCTCACAGATTTCAAAAATAGTTGCAACCATTTTCCTCCATGTAAACACAGCTTTTTATTTGACCTAGAAGCACAACCCTTGAAGTGTATTAGAAAGATTTTCAAAGTAGCTTATACTACTTTTTCTAAAACCCTAAGATCAAAAAGGAAAGAGGTAACTCATGCCTTCATTACACAGATGGAGTCTGACGGGTTTCAGCGATTCTTCTGCCCGAGAGCAGAACACGTCCCACTGCCTGACCAGTAGGTGTTGATGTGGCCCCACGTGCAGTGCTTTGGGTCACCTCTGTACAGGCAGTGTAGCCCTTGGGTATCTGCATGTCTGTAGTAAGTAATTTACACCAAAGCATGTTAATCACAAAACCACTTCTCCACCAATTTCACGGCACACATTAACGCACCTGTTTGAAACACGTGTAGACAGATTGTTGACTTGTGTGTACATCTATGCATATCTTATACTGCTGTATTATTTTTAAGCAGTTCATAAGGAGTGAGATGAAGAAAAAGAAGTCAATACATATGCAGTATTATTTTTACTAACTTGTCTCTTCTCTACCTCTTTAACAGAGTGGCCAGGTGTATTTCATTAATGATGGTGAAAACTTCAACCTTTTTGAATGGTTAACTCCACTTGTATGTGCAGCATATACTTTATCTCCAACTACAAATTTCTTTCACTGTATACAACTCTAGCTTTTGTGTGCATGCTCCAGTTGGTATGTTTGCTTTGGGCGTATGAGTTGTGTTCTGAATGTGGGCTTAATTCCTGTGCTGTAACAAGGCCTACCTAAAATATTACCTTAAAGCAGCTGTCTTCACTGAGACAAAAGGACCAACTAAACCAGTGTCCTCTTCTGAGCTGCCATTATCTTAATTTCTTGGGCATGCATCTGTTAATGGTAGCTATTTTGGGTGGACCAAAAAAAAAAAAAGAAAGCTAATTATTACTGTGTAATACACAGTCTTTTCAAAAGATCATTTTATTGTCAATAATGGGCTCAAACCCATAATATGTCACAATGTTAGATTAGATATCAACACACTGTGGCATTTCAATCAATTTTTTTTTTTCCTTTAGGATTGCCACTTGAAAATGATGGTTGTCTGCATGTGCCATTTAACAGAAATCCACTGAAAAATGAAAACTCAGATAGTAATAGTGATGATGAGTTTTACTGGTTTATTAGTAGATACTTCCAGTAATATTTTCTGTAGTGAAACTTTAAAACTTGTTTAAGGTTTCTGTTATTTTCACTCTTTCAAAACAATTTCTTTCAGTTTGAAAGATTAGGTTGCAGTAAACCATGGATACGTATTCCTACTTCCTTAGTTTATGGATCAGGTAAAAATATTTTATCAACATTTCTCTTCCCTGTCCACATTACTCTTATTGCCATATCATGTTTTATTTTAATTTGCCCACAGTTTTCATGTATAAAAATAGTATGCTGTGCTCTCATCTAGTGTGCAGCAATAAGGGGTGAAGTTCAACTCTATGCAATGTGTTGAAACCAGGATGATCTGTTATTTAAGTCCCACAAAACCAGGTTTTATGTAGGACTTAACAGATGTATAACTTTGTGGAGTTAGTGATACAAATATAAAAAGTTAAACTTAAAAATCCATGACTTCATGAAATACACTGAAGATTATTTGCTTTGCTGCATGGGTAAATTTCTTGTTTTCCTGTGTCTCGTTCTCTTTCCAGAGTCAAACTCCATGTGCAGCTAAAACAGAATCCAACTTTGAGTATTTTGTAGTTAGCACATTTTTTATGAACTCTCATGATCTTTTCACTAGACCTGTCACTAACCCTCCAAACCCTTTTCACACAAGCACCTTAATTCAGGGTGACTGAAGTATTAAGATTAAATCCAGGCTTTTTTGAGCAAGTAATGCTGGTGGTGTTAGTAACAGTACCCTGAGCTCTTAGCTGCATGATTATCCTTCACTATCAAAGACAGTGCCAGATACACCAAAATCACAATGGTATAGCAATTTACTGTTCTTATCTCAAGAAGAAATCTTTTGCTATGCAGCCATGATGATGGAATACCTTCACCTGATGCTGAAGCCATTTGTTGAACTGTCCCCACTGCTGACCAGAAACGAGGTAAAGTGTTTGAAAACAACACTTAATTCTCACACAACGCACAGAAGATTCTGCTTTGCAGCTTTTACTGCTTTGGGCTTTCAAGGTTGTCCTTCTGAGTGAACAATTTCAAAAATAATATTACATATGTCACTAGGACATTGATGTAATGTTGTGGCATATGCTTTATTTTACATTTCCTTTACATGTGACTTTGATACTATTTACAGACTTGTTTGAATTTCTTATGTATTCATATCTTTGTATGTTGACTCTTTTGCTCTGTAGGTGCAGAACATTTCTATAACTCACACATTCCGAATAGACAAGGCCCGGAGCCAGCTGGGGTACAGCCCCGAGAAGTTTGCATTTGCTGATTCCGTTGACCACTACATTAAAACCAGACCAGAAGCCCAGAACCATCACATCTTCCTCAAAGTTTTCAGTTTTTTAATTTTTAGTTTAAGTTTGCTTTTTGTTTCTCTAAAATTTGATGGTCTTTCAGTTTTGCATTTTTTTAAAGAAATGCAACACTGACTTGTATAAACTGCATGTACTCAGTCACACTACTGCTACTTGGGTCATCCTCATCTCCACAAGTTACTGGCCCCTATGCTCATCGACAAGCAGATATTCTTAGATTTAAAAACAAAACTGTAACACACCCATAACAGTCCTTGAGAAATTAAAATACAGTAAACGGTTACAGCCAAATTGCTGAAATGTTCTGGAGTCAAGATTTTTGCCTCTGTTTATTTCACACCAAAAAAACAACTTTCCAAATTGATTGAAGTAAACGAGAACCTGGAGAAATAACAAGAGCTACAGCTTTACCACTGAAAGAAAATGGCTAAAATAAAGAGAAAGGCTGATGATAGCAGCTGCCATAGCTCACTACTGTGGGAAACTGAGGGACAAGCAAAGGGACGGCCACAACCAGTTACTGTAAATAACACATACCAGCTGTACAGAGTTCACACGGTGTGAGTTTCTTTTGTGAATTAGCTGTATCAAGGTGTGTGAGCAAAAAATAAAAGTGTACTTGGAACATGGCTTCTGTCCAGACTGCTCCAGAACTGCTCTGCAGCCTACCCCTGGGATGCAGAGCCACACGTGACAGAACCACGGGGCACTTTAGGAGGCCTCGGTGATACATGCAGGTACGACTCTTCACAAGTTAAAACTGTGTTTTAGTTAAATTGGAAGTTATTGACTAAGTTACCTTAGGTAAGTGCATTTATGTCACAGTAGAGGAATCTGCCACTGTGGGTCGCACTGATCTTTGTAATGCTTCCTTTACCTCCTGCAGTCATTGGGAACAAACCAAGTAACATAGTTTAGTTGCATATCGGCTGAATTTTAGGTACAACTATGTTTTTGCACCTAACTTCTAAAGCGTGGCAGTCGTACCGAGCAAATCCCTGCAGCAGCTAAAACGAACAATGCGCTTTTGGAATTCCTGTTCAGCTAAACGGGGTAAAGCGCACGGGCTCAGAAGGCCCCACCCGCCCTCGTGCTGCTGGGCTACCACAGGAATCTCCCTCCCGGCCGCACCTTCCCCAGCCCGTAACGCGAGCAGAGAGCCTGGGAACGGAGACGGCACCGGGAGGGGACAGAACCGAGGCCGCGGAGTAATGCTCGACGGATTTGGGAGTTGCGGAGAAGGTGCAGACGGCTTGGCCCGGGGGGTGCGGTAACCGCCTCCGCACGGGAGGGCAGAACTGCACCATTCGTGCTGCTGGGTTAAAGCCAAAAGATGCACACGTAGCAGAGGCCGCTCTCCCCAGCACACGTCGCCGTTGGCGGTGACTGGATTTTAACGAGCACAACCAGCAAGCCCCAGC